GTGCGAGCGCTGGGTCTATCCTCATCTGTTCCTCCTGAAATTTCAATTAATTCATCATTAAACTTTTTGTTTTTCACATATTTAAGCGGAATGTAAATTCATTCAAATTTCTCAATTATGAATAATGTGCACTTTGAAATGGTTCAGTTAAATTAAAAATTTTGAAAATTCAAAAAATATACCTATTACTGATGTAATACTGGATGATATTGCGACGAATCTAAGGATAGCAAAATATTTGAGATGCATTGCTATTAGAAGCTGTAAATTAAAATTTACTCAATGACTCGAATAATCTGATGAATTTATCGAATTTTTTCACTATCGTGAGTGGACTTCTTAGAAGTTTGAATTTTTTCACTTCTTAGAAGTTTGAGAAAATGAATTCAATTATTTTGGATGTTTTATAAATCTACTTGCTAAAGGATAATTCTCCATAAAACAAATTTATTCATTTAGCCACTTTATTGTGTGTTTCCTTTGATGAGTAACAACAGTAAATGATTAGTAAAGATTTAGACCCAAATTCGGCTGCTTCAATGAGGGCTAGGCTTTTTTAGCTACTATGACTAATCAGAACTATGAAATGAGTAGAAGAATTTGTAGAAACGAATTTGGTGAGGAGGGAAGCAGTTTTGAGGTAGACTGAATTTCGAATGAAAATATTGACCTTTTATAGTGAAAAGATCGAATCAGTCAAAGATCAGAAAGATTCTGGAAAAATTGAAATTAATCTCAGTTTTCTGTTTTGCATTGAATGGCGTGCATTGTGAAATAGAAAGTATTTCATACAGATTTATGCAAAAAAGCAAATAATACTGTCACAAACAGTTTTTCTATAGAAAATGGGATTAACAGAATATTTCGTTTCACTGAAAGCCTTTCATTTAAATATATAAAATTGCACTTGTGTCAGAAATAGAAGCATCCAAAAGTAAATGAGATCATCGATTGTCATTATTTTACCATTCAGGGGAGGTTGTAGAGTTTACATCATTTTCCATTATTTGTACCTTGCAATCCTGTAAAGTCTTTCCAACTGCCAGGATGATAAATCGGAAATTTTTGTCCGAAACTGAAAAAGACAATCAGTGTTCGGCTGAGAATTCGAATGCAATGCTTTTTCAGAAAATTTGTGATATTGAAGAGTAAGCAACCTACGATGAAGAGATTCCATCCAGCTTATCAGGAAATTTGGAAAAATCGAAATTAATCTCAGTTTTCTGTTTTGCATTGAATAGCATGCATTGTGAAACAAAAACTACTTCATGCAGATCATGCAAAAAAGTAAATATGTGTCGATATTAAATGTATCGATATTTGCATATTCACATATTTGTGAGTTTTATTGAATTTCCTTGGAGACAACGATTTATTCCTCAAAAATTCAAAACATTTCTCAAAAAGTCTATCGATGAAATTGATAATTTTGGAATGATTTAATCTAAATCTTACTTCTTATGTTTTTGTTCTGTAATTTACATTTAAGGCTTCTGGAAATTTAATGAATAAGGGAACTACCATTAATGATAAGATAAAATAGGTACGATAGAATTCGCGTAATTCATTTTGTTTCAGATCTCTTGTTACAATTAGTGATAATTGATCCACTCACAAATTCTCTAGCAATTCAATTAATTAATTTGACAAAGGAAATTTCGAAAATTTTGTTTGCTGCTCAGAAGATTTTTTTATTTATTGTCGTTTCATTGACACAGCCAACTAACGCACTTTCATTGCTGGCCTCATCACTCAAAGGCCTAATTATGGCTGTGTTTTCAAGACACAAAAATTGGCTGTTTGGTTTGCATATTTTGCATGATATTCGAAACTTCAAATGATTTATCGGTTTTTATATATTACCAAATATTTACCACATCTTTATAAAAATATCTTCATGGCTCTAATTGCTGACAAAAAGTTGAATCATTTATCGAAATTCATCTGAACTGTACCTATGAAACAGTTAACCAATAATAAAAATCAATCATTTTCTCGGAAAGATTTGGTAGTTTATTTCAATCATCCATGATTCATCAAGTAAACGCAGCGTACTCAGCGGAATGTATTGCTGCAAAGGAAAAATGATATTAATTGCAAATTATCAAAAACTGAATAAAAGTATTCAAATATAAATAACAGTTATAATGTCATATCAGTTATTTAATGAATTTATATCTTTTCTTTTTTTTTTACACGGCTGTGACGTGGGCCTTCGGAGAACGTCAGAAATTCGAATTTATTTGCCGTAGTAGCGTATGTAATGTTATCATTATTAATCATTAAATATTATGGTAATGCAGTGATTATCACTGATCAATCCATAGAAGACTATCAGATCGATGAAAAGGCGAAGCCAGCAGAATCGCTTGCCCTGTCCACTTTTGTTGTGACGTTTGACTAATAGACTATTATATTATTCGCTATCCTCCGGCAGAATTTTCGCCCAATTATGCAATATGAAAATCCATATGATGACTCATACCGATGTGAAATCGCACGGTTGTTGCATGGTTGTTCGACATGCAAGAAATGTTTCAGAAAAAAGCAGAATTTGCAAAGACACACAACAATACATGACAAAAATAGGCCAATCTTCAGTTGTACTGTATGCAGTAGACGTTTTCTGAATTATAACTCATTGAAATCACACATGAAAAATCATAAAAGAAGTTGAGGGGAACATTTTAAGTTGAAAAAGGCGCTGTTATTTTTGGTGTGATTGATTATTTGTATTTTCTGTTAGATAAATTCTTGTCACTTATTCATTATTTAATTGCTAACAGTCTTCTGTTGTTATCATTGTTATCGTTTTTTACAATTTATTCATTTTTTGCTTCATATGGATATTATTGTCGTTCTTTTTTTTTATTTTACTTCTCTGTATCATGTCATCTTGTTCACCTAACAGATGACCTTTTCATTATTCATGCTTACATAACAACTTGCAGGCCATATACAGAAAACTTGCAAGTAAGTATCACTGCTGAAATTACTGATGAAATAGCATTGCAATATAATTACTTTTGAGTAACTAGAAGCAATACAGTTGAAAAATATATAATTTAATGTAAAACTTAACTGATGAAATAATAATGAAGTGATTATGTTTAATTATTATTTCTACATTGTAAATGTCTTCTGATAATATCGATTATCGATCAGATTTAATATGGTGAGTACTTAGAAGTAATACAATAAAAGAACAATGAAAACTGAAGTGAAATTAAATGATAAAATAATTATTCATTGATTCGTTTTGATGTCTTCAACGTTTTAAATATTTAAATATCTCAATTTGTATATTTATTCTATTGTATTACCCCTAATTACTGAAAAACAAATGCAATGCAACATTATCGATTATATCCGATCAATACTATGCTTTATCAGAAACAAATAATGTACTTTATCAGAAGACGTCCTTAATGGTCAGTTATCAATTCTAAAAGCTCGAATAGTCTTTTAATCCAACTCCTGCAGTTACGAAATCCGTTGCTAAGTCACTCAATCGGAGAGCTAACGCAAAGCACTCAAGACGACAGCTTTTCATTTCTAAGGAATTTATTTCAGCAACTTTGTGAAACACAAATTTGTATAACACATTTAAAATGGAAAACATCTTTGATACTCCTTTAATTGTTTTCCCCTTCAATTAATAAGCTGACTTAATTAATAAGTAAATTTAGTTAGCAATTTAATTGATAATTCAACTGGTAATTAGTGATTAATAGCTTTAATTAATAACTTTTACCAGTAGTAGGAGAGGAGATCGAAGGATAAATGTAATTCATTAATGGAAATATTTTGAAAAGAAATAGAATGATATGATTTTAGTGAATTTATGTGCTCTACTTTTTATTTGCTAAAATTTGTCATTAATTATGATGAAAGGATTGAAGTTTTTTAATTTTAATTCGATTGATTTGTATAAAAAACTAAGCATTTAATTACGAAAGACTTGTTTGGGTACATTTAAATAATAAAATAAAAAAACAAAATGGACGAGCAAGTTTCTCAAATGAATTACTCATTGAAATCAATCTTTTATAATGAAATTTTGCATTGTCTATTTTGACAATCTTAATGATCAAATAAATAACCATTGATGTTTTTGTCACCAAATAGTTTCATTACTTTCTTTTTGTTTTTTTTACAATTTGAATTCTTTATTTCAAAAATTACTCATTGAAATCAATCGATAACTTCTAATTCCTATCTTTCTATATATATTACATTTTTCTATATTTGTATTGCATTTTTTTCAGAAATGAAAAAAAAGAGTAAAGTAGAAAAGAGATGATTTTGCATTCATTGATTGAATTGAGCGAAAAGTAAAGAGATAGCTTATAATCATTAATTCCATTTCTCTTTTCTATTTCTATTTAATTAAAAATTAACAAAATTATAAAAACAAAACAAAAAAAGTCCCATCCATTTTTTTCCATTTTTTTTTTTTTTTTTTTTTGTTTTTCTGTTGAATATTTAATATTTGCTATATAGGAAGTGAAGGAAAAAAAAACAAAACAAAAAAATGAATTGAATGAGGGAGTGAAGAGGAATACGAGGGAAGATTGGAGAAAGCAGGAAAATGGCTGTCATCGTATTGTCATTTGTTTCCCTTCTTGCATTTGTGTACGTGTATAAATATATTTCAACTTGCCTTCTGAAATCCTATTTCATTTTTAACGAATAGTCCTTTGTTTTCTTCTTTTTTCTGGAAGTCTTATGATTTGGGATAATTTTAATTTGTGTTTTGACTTAATTCAAATTTGAGATTTGAAATTAATTTCCGAAATTTCAAATTTAATTTACGTTTTAATGAAATTTTTGTATATTTTAACACTAGAAGTTGATCTAAATTGGGACATTTATTTTAATGAAATGTTTTACTTTTATTTTTGCCAGCCTTACGTGCCGCATTTGAATGCTTCATTTGCACATTCCGAAAATTTTTTTTCATTCCAATTTTTTTAAATTATAGCATTTATTTAAAATATATTTTAGTTTATTAAAAGCAAAAAACTTTCACTCACAGAAATTCTTCATGTTATTTTGAGAATTTCTTTGCAATCATTGATTGAGGCAAATTTTTGGCAATAAAATTGAATTTATTGCTTCTTAACATTTAATTTTTTCTATCAGAGGAATCGGAAAATTCTAAGCCAAGAATTTTCCAATTTCACTAAGATGGATTATTTCAATTTTGAATCAGAAAAAGTGAAATCTATCAAAAAACATTTCCTTTTTTTTCGAAAAAAAAATTTCTTTCTTTTTATTTACAAGTAATGGAAAAAAGATGTACATTTAATATGCATTTGTGATCGAATGGAAATTAATTATAATGTGCGATAAAATTTGCTTAATTAATTAAAGCAATTCGAGGGACCATTGGTTAATAAAATCTCTAGACATACACAAAACCATTTATATTCTTAGGTAATAATGAAAAAAAAGCATACATACATATATTTGTTTATTCTAATCATCATTAGCATCCAGTAAGAATTATTTTCATAATAAAATATTTATTAAATACCAGTCGGTAAATAATAAAATTTCCTCATTATTTTCTAACACTTCTTACTTTTTCATATTCAGTATTTGGCACATTTTACTTCGAATATCCTTTTATTTGTTAATTTTGAAAATAAACTTTTTTTTATTCAATTTAATTTTGCACTAATGATAATTATGATGCATACTACTATTCAGTGGATAATTTTGTTTATTCTCTTTATACTTCCTTTAATTTTAAATAATTTTAATTGAATTTGACAGCATAATACTAATTAGTTCATATTGAATCGTAACTTTTCAATGCATGCAAAATATTTGCTCAATTAACTATTTCAATGTTGCTATCATTTTTCTCATTATTTACATTTTAAAAACGAATTTTTGAAAATATATTTCACAAATTTCATCCACATTTTAATTATTTATTCTACAAAAGTTCGAATGTGACAAATGAATGGAAGAATAATAGTTAATTTCTATGAGAACGTATCAAATACCTCACAAAATTTTCAAAAAAAAATGGAAAAGAACTGATGACAAATTTTTTCTAGTCTTCTGCATATCTACAATTTTTTTTTAAAAAAAAAATTTAATTATAGCTAAAATTTACATGAAGCATTTGGGATATTGATTTCAATGATAATTTGAATGCAATAAAAAGAATTTGCAAAGCAGATCGATCTTGTGGAAAATACGACAATTTCCTATCCGAAGCATCTTTTGAAAAGTGTGAAAAGTATTTGATGAATGAAAAGAATGCTCACAAGAGAAAAGACCTGAAGTAGCTCTTTATATATTGCGCATATTTCAGGCTCATTCTATCTTTACTTCAGTAAATAATTGCAAACATTGTGGCAAAGTAGAATTTGACAA